ATGTGCCACCCACAAAATGTGGGTCAGCCCCACTGCAGATTTATGTCACTTGGTTAAATAATCAGCTGCTTGTTGTTATTGCTACTGTTGCTGCTGCTGCTGTTGCTGCTGATTAATTAGCCAACAACAATGGGCCACGATTTTCTTTTGCTTTTGCGGCTTTTCTTCAATTTATACAACACCAGCGCACTTTTCCTCATCATGATGGTCTTTTTATGATTACTCGCTCTCATCTCTATACACTTTCTGCTCACACACACACACACACACACTGGAGTACATGCACGTATACAGCTTCAATCTACATTGCTCATACGCCACCAACATCTCAACTGAAGCTGCGAATTAGTCGCTTATTGTTTGGCGTAATTGTTTCTTGTTGCCGACGCTGTTGTTGTTCGCTGTGTTGTTTATCTGTTGTTGTTTTTTTCGTTGTGTTTTTGTGGCCCACGTAAACGAAAGTCAGTTTTGATATTCGTTTTGTTATGATTTTATTGTTTGTTGTTGCTTGCGCTTATCGCTGTCTGGGTCAGTAGCGGAAAATGTAATGAAAGCGGAAATGGCATGAGATAATAATTTGTTTATAGTAATAATAACTAAATATTAAACAATGGTAGTAGCCAAATGAAATTGTAATAATTAAATCCGAATTCGCGTCTTCGTATCTGAACAATCAAAAACAAATTTTGGTCTCGACATTTTTGTTATTTTACCTTATGCAAATGAAAGTAAATTTTTTCAAATGATTGCTAATAAACATGAATAATAAAATCAATAATTTATCTTCTTTTGTGCGCCCCTCGACTGATTCTAAATAAAAACAAACGACTTAGGCAACGAACTTGACTGTGGCAGACACGCCGTCTTACAAGCTGCTGATTCGTCTGTCGTGTTTTCTGTTTTTTGTTTCTGTGCTGCCTTTGAGCGATGACAAAGCCAACGAGTTGTCGACAACATCAAAGTGCCTCGATTATGACTGCTAAGAGCTCTTGTCATTTTGTTGCCTTCGCGCTTTTAATTGTGTTGGAAGCACATAATCAAAACGAGCTACCCGCTGATATCAAAGCTCTATATATACAGTATATTGTATGTATTTTAAGATGCGGAATTATAGGTGCTTTTGATTTATGATTTTTCGCAGGGTGAGGCGTTTCTAATTGGCTAAAAGCCGCCTAGTGGCAGTCTATGATGCCTACTTAAGTAGTCGCCTAATAGACGTATCATTGCCAGCTTCCTGCTAAGTACTTTTGGAAATGATGGCAATGACAGCTTGCAAGCGCTGTAGCCTGAGAAAAAAATTATATGATACGGAACTGAAAGTTGGGTAACAGATTATGCTTCGGAGCAAGCCGAGACAATAGACAAGAAGATGTGCGGGCCATAAAATTAATTGACAGCTCCAACAAGAGCTTGTTTTATGACCAGATTAAGTCGCATTATGCGTAGCCACCTACTATGTCGCTACCAGAAGATGGCATTTGCATAAACATCATAATAGTGAATCACTCCACTTAGAACCAGTTCGTCAGCGTCCTTTGCTCATCATGATGATGATGATGTCATTGCCTCAATATAGATCCTGATGAAGCGTATAATATACCTCAGAAACACACGCACACTCTCTCTCTCTCTTTCTCTCTCTTTATTCACTCTCTCCCTCTCTCCCTGTAAAAACAAGTTCTGTGCTCATAAAATCCAATTTTGTATTCTTCAACAAAACAAATCTGATTAGCTTTATAAATATTTTGCAAGCATTAAACTTGTTCGCTAGACTGAATTTCTTGGCACACTGGCAAATGAAAGTCGATAATTAAGTTTATTAAATATTAAAAAATAGCAATACTTTTATTTATGTTCACTGTTGTTGTTTACTCAACAATTGCATAATGTTTTATGGAAAACCCACAGCGATTTGTCATGCGGGCCTGAACTAAAAACCAAATATATCAAGAATGGACTGACATTGAGTTATTGTGATGGAAAAATAAAACAAAAAGCAAAAAGTATAAGATATATAAACAAGCAAAACATATATATACATAACTATATACATACATATATTTGCTATAAATAAAGATGCTTCAATTTCTTCACAGTCTGCAGATGAATAGAAAATTTGAGAGCAAAGCAAATGCCATTCAATGTTAGCCCTAAAATGGCATGACGCAAAGCCTGTGGCCTGTTGCCTGTTGCCTGTTGCCTGTCAGCGCATGGAGGTCAGCAGTTTGCTCTGACATTTAGCCGCATGCGGCGATCGGCATGCTGCCCGTATACGAATGGCAGCCAGCATTTGTGGGTACGCAATTTGCAACGCACGTGGCTTGATGAATGTGCAGCGTTTAGTCTTTTTTACGGCTATGCTGCACGCTGTAATTTAAGAACTTGGCATTTAGTTGTAATGATCATATTTAAAATCGTGGTGTAATGGCACAGTTTACGCATGCTATAAGCACTGGGAGGCTGCAATCTGATGTGGCAACAGCACATTATACATATATACACACATAAATGTATATATATGTGTGCGGTTACATCTGCCGCGACTTAAAGTTCATTCGAATAGTCCGGCAAAAAGCCAAGCTGAGCAAAAGTTCAAGTTCGTTGCCCAAGTCTTTCGCTTCTCAGCCAAAAAAGCGGTTGACAAACGATTTATTTATTACACTTGAAGCGTAGCTGACATTTGACCAAAACCAAACAACAGCAACAAGAAATGAGCGCGATAGAGAGGGAGAAAAAACACGCGTTGATGTTTTGTTTAGGTTGGCTCTTGCGGCTGGGCAAGTTCGTTGTCAAAGTCTTTTGTATTTCCTAGTGTGTTCATAACTTGTAATGAAGCTGAGTGCTCAGCAAAAAGCAAGCGTAAAGAACAATGACAACAACTACAGCAACAACACAATGCATTATGTCAGGGTAGCCGAGAATATGTTGAAATCTTGAGGCAGCATCAAAGGCAGAAAACATGTACATTATTTACACACTTCATTAATCACTAAAGATGGGCACTAAGAAAAACGTAAAGGGGGGTATAAAACAAAAACAAGACACATTAGGTTACTTTTACTTGATCGTACGCTCTGGCAGCAACAGATGCGGCTCATTGGCTTTTCAGCGATGTGCACGCAGCGCCAGTTAACGCATCAACACTTGGGAATGGGATACAGGTACAGCAGCAGCTGGAGTAGAAGGCAACAGAGCTGTAGTTGCTGAGTAGCCGAGGGTGGGAGTGTGTGGGAGAAGGAGATGGGGAGGCAGAGGGGCGTGCGTCTGCTTTTGGGCATTGTTGCTTGAATGACTTTTAAATTTATTTGCCATTTCTTTGCTGGCAAACGTTAATGAGCAAAGCAGACCAGGTCGGACTCAGACAAAGCCAGCCGAGCAAAAGCATTCGCATTTTGAACTTTTATCTGGCCATCTGCAACAGCAACAGCAACAGTAACAACAGCAACAACAGTAACAACAACAACAACAACAACAGCAACAAAATTATATTGTATACAGCATTTGCCTACATTTAAAGCAACCAGATTGATGTTTTCTTTTTGTTCCCCCTAGTTTTATTTCTCTGTGCCAGCTCAACTTTAACCCTCGGCCACATAAACTGAAACACCTTCGTCTGGTGCGGGTGTGCGACCGTCTTCATGTACATGAGTCTCTCTCTGTGTGTGTGTGTGTGTGTGTATGTGTGTGTGTGTGTGTTTGGGTTTGTGATGTGAAAGATGTTAAGTCACACATTTGGCCTAAATTTGTCTTTTCCTTGGCTATGGCTAAGCAACGTCTGCCGCAACTTGTGCGCTTTTCTTTTGTTCATTTGCGCCACAAGGCTGGAAAAATCTGTAGCAACTCTTGACATTTAAGCAGCATTTCCTAATTCCTGCACCAACTACTTTCTGTGTCTCTGCCTGTCGCTTCGCCCGTAATTGCCATACACAAAAACAAAACAGCAACAACAACAACAAAATTATCTAACTCTGGAGTTGCAGCTGCCCCAAATGCCCCCGAGCAGCGCATTCTGATCGCAACTGCAACTGCAACTGCAACATCCTTGAACTGCGCCCACTGCAGCTCAGCTGCTTCATAATAACAATGCCAAAAAAAAAAACTCAGCTGGGGCTAATTTATTCGGATAGACAATTAAAAACTCGTAAAAAGAAAACGAGCTAAAGGCAGCTTCAGTTATTTTTTTTCTATCTGTGGATCTATTTTTAAATCGAATTCTTAACTCACTAATTCATGCGCATTTCGGCTAGAATAATTTAAATAATTAAGAACCTTGTTAATTACGCCTAGCTAATTATGGCAACAAGAAGCGGCTGCTGCTGGGGTTGCTGACACATAATTGCAATGACTTTGTACCACTATAGAACCAACCAGTATGAACTCATGAATAGGCACTTTCAGTACTAGCCAAAAAAATGCAATTAATTATTAACAAACAAATTTATTAAAGGACAATTGGCAGCTCAATGATGCGCACAACTAAATTAACTTCATGGCCAGCTACAAAAGTTAATTAATAAACAAATTAAAAACATAAAAGTAACCCTTGAGCTATTTAACTACTCCTTTACACAACTTTTTTTAATACATGTCTCTGCTTTATATTTAATCAAGCGTACTTTCCCCCAACAATAATAAGCAGACTACAACAAAAAATCTGCTGTCAGTTAAAAATATTATGCAATCTGAAAGATAATTGCTTTTTACTTAAATTTTAAATCAAGTTTAATCAAACACTCCATTTTACGATCAACAAAATAAAACCTATTTAATTACATTAATATTTTATATTTTATAATTGCATTACTTCTCAGTATGAAACTATGCAGAGCTCTACATTCTCACTTTAGTCGAATTATTAAAATCCCAAGCTTAATTAACAACTATCAAAGCGAGCAGAACTTGTGAAAGGCTCGTTGGCTGCTGTCTGAGCACTTTTGCCATTTATGAACCGCTTAGAAGTTACAGCTGTCGAGACTCCAGACCGCTGAGCATTCACTTACCTTTAGACGGCAGCATCAACACCAGAGTAGCCTCAATGTCAAATTTATGAGTTCGTATGTGTGTGTGTGTGTGTGTGCGTGTGTGTGTGGTGTCTGTCTGTGGCAACAAACTGTGGCAGCAACTTCTTCCTGTGGCTCACAAAGTGGTTTTGCTTTCGGTTTCGTGAGTGAAGTAATATGTTTTTGCTTTATTATTGTAGAGTTTTCCTCTGTTTTCGTAGTTTTTCTCGCTCTCGTCGTTGATTAACTATAATGTTGCATTTTTTAAATGATGTTTTTATTTTCTGTTTGATATGTCTCACTAAGGTTTTGTTTGTCCAATGAACAAATAACACAATTTAGTTTCAGTTACAAAAAAACAAAATCACTTCAAAATTACAATCGAATCATCAGCAAAGCAAATTGTGTAAACTTTAATAGCAAAATCAATTAAACAAATTAACGAAACACTCAGTACTCAGATTCAATAAATGCTTAAATTCCAACTAATTTCTGATGTCTCTGAGTATTTTCGCCAATTTAGTTAACTTCTTTGACAAATGATTTTTGAAGTGATTTCATCGAGAATCTCTGGTTTATCGCGTCTATCATTTGCAAACGTTATTGTGCTACACAAAGTCCTCTCGTATGTTTGTTTCGATTAAAATTCTTATGAAATCAAGCACTAAAGTTTCAAGCTAAAGGCACTTTATCAAAATCCGCTTGAAACAATTCACAAATGACTTTTGGTTTTTCTTCTTTTTTTCGAAGCACACTAGAGTTTCGAGATGCAATCAGAAATCTTTGAAGTACAAAATGTGATGCCAGTCCGAACAGAAGACGTCTTCACCCGTACGATATTCACATTTGAATGTTTCAATTGGCAAATGCGGCGTCCAACTTTAGTAGTTGAGCGACTCAGACTCGGGCCCCCGACCGCAGCGCCGACTCGGCACACTCTTCTCCAGCGAAAACGCACTCCCCAGCAAATACACCCAAGAAACACAATCGGCAAAGCGGCCGAAGCCACCCGCAGATCTTCGCCAGAAGCGCCGAAGCAGCCGAACATCTTCCTCGCAGTCGTCAACAACAACGTTTTGGCCTGGCCAGCGCAAACGCAACAGCAGACGCAAAAGCAGAAGCAAAGTCAACGCAAATGCAATTGACTTTGCGACCGGTCCAGCGATCAGCTGTTTACATGCGCGACTGAGAGTGAGAGCGAGACAGTTAACAGAGTGATTGTAACCGCACTGTTAAACTCTAACATTGCTGTTAAGTCGACAGCAGACAAAATTAATTGTAGCGATTGGTAGTGCTTGAAATATATTTTTATGTACAATAATTTATGTATGACATAAAATTCCAAATTGATTTGGATATTCTCAGTTAACAACTTGATCAACCAAAAACAAAATATGATCATATATAATATATAAATAAATTTAGTGATTTTTCTATTTGATTGGTTTTTGTCCTCAAATAATTATAAATAAATTTTTAAGTACTAAAGTACAAAAAAAAAAAATAAATAAAAATAAATAATAAATAATAATAATAATATATTTTATAATATGCTTATATATTCTCAAGTTTTGTTGAAAACTTTAAATATGTATTTTAAGTATTCCTCATAGGAAAAATATGGGAGAAAATATATTTCATTCAAATAATTTTTAAATATAAGTTCATTTTAAATAAAAAATTAAATGCTATATATATTATTTATTCAAGCGCATTTTATATTATATATTTATTGCTAAGCAAATTCAATATAATTATAAAATAAAGAAATAAACTTTATAATTCAACAGGTCTCATTTTATTACGAAAAAAATTAAAATTACAAAAAGATGACTCACTTATAATCAAGCCAAGAAAGAAATAATGTATCAATCTCAAGCTGTGATATCTTCATCGTAAAACAAATACACTCGGAATGATGCTGGCTTGGGAAAAGGGAAAAGGGAAAGGGAAAGGGAAGGCGAAACCAGTAGATATATCATTAATGTAGGGCCCTTCAGCAGCAGCCGCAGCGCGGCGCGGGGCAGCAGTCAAATTTGATTTTCAATTATTGATTTGAAACGCTGTCATTGACGACTTTATGACTCGAGTTGTGGTTTCTGTTTATGGGCCATTGGCCGGGCCGAAGACAGATGAGATGCGCGAAAGCTGAAGAGTTGACAGTGGACAGTTTTTATTATGATTTGGCCAGCTTCTTGGTTTGGCTGAGGGGCGCTGTGATTTTGACTGCGAGCCGAAGCCCTGACAAACGCTGCCATTGCATAACAAACTGTGTAGAGCTTCGGTTTCTTGGGCACAGCTTCTGCCTTGCCGCTGCTTCCTTCTCCAGCTCCACCTCCAGCTGCATCTCTATCTCTCCACCTCCACGCGATGCAGATGGCTGCATTACACGGCGCATTCATTGCGCCTTCGATTATGATTGTGCTATAGGAAATGCTTAAATAATCGCAGTCGCAAATATTCCCACGAGTTTTTTTTTTGTTTTGGTTTTTTTGTCTCTTTTTTTTTTTGGGTAGTAGCGATATCTACTTCCAGCCATCAGCAGCGTCTGATTGTCTGCTACATGAACAAATCCGCATTGGATTCTATTAAAAGCGTCTGTAATCGTCAGAAGCGACGCTGGTAATCACCTCAAAGTCACAAAACGAAAGACTGCAGCAACGAACTTGCTGTTGCTGTGCATGCTTAGCTTAACGTGATTTTAATAGCGGGTCGGTTCTGCATTTCATATTGGGGTTGCCCGCTCATTCAAGCATAAACAGAAATATATTTGTATTTATCTAGCCACTGGCTTCACGACAAATGACATTGACCATTTTAAATACCCTGTAGCAATAAAAGCGTGGACAAAGCGGAACGAAGCAAATGCCAGATTTGCAGAATTATTAAATGCTGCTAGCCTTAGAAGCTGACTTGCAGTTGCGTGGCATGTCAGTGGGCCTCATTAGATTCTTCCTTGATTGCTCATTCAATTCTTGGCATTTAATTAGGGGCAGACCTCAAGACGGGGTATCTCTTGGCAGCGCTTCTGTCAACTTAATTAAGTTGTTGTCGAAATGTTAGGTCATTATAATTAATTGCTACATCGATGGGGCTGTCGAGTATTCCAATTAAAATTATATTTAAGGGCGAGCTGAACCAATAGAATTTAACTTTAAAATGGAATTGGAGTGCCTGGGGAGTTACCTATGTAGATGTGCTGTGTCACGCACATTCTAGGTTCAACTCGCTTAGACCAATTTCCTTAATACTCAAGTGTCGCTGCTTTGAAGCCCCTCTTAACATTGAAGACTGCAGCTTAACTAGATAATGGGAAAATTATTTGGCAATTTGCTGGCAAAACTCATTGCCACAACTAATTCGCTTTACAACTGAGCGCATTGCAGCTGCATATGTTTAGAGGCGAGCCAGATAGTTGGATGCTCGGGCACATTGAGCAACAACCTTAAAGGTCGTTTTGCCATTTTGCGGCAATGTGTCAAATCATCGCCAGAGCAGCCAAGAAGCCAGAAGCCAACCTATATTTAACCCCAAACTATCCATCAAAGTACATGAAATGAGGGCTTCTGTTTTTCATTTTCATTTTCATTTTCATTTTTTTCTTCGTGCTGCAATCCAATGCAAGACGGTGAAGAAGCCTTTTGTAAAATTGAAAAACCATTTAAGTCCCGTTAATTTTAACACCCATTTTCTATGCCAGCCACAGATTGCCAAACAGAGTCTCGAAAGAAGAAAAAAATAAGGCGCAACGCTGGCATCGTAAACAAAAGCGAGAAGCAGCCGAAATACGTAATTCAAGCGATAATTATTACCTACGGGCCGCAAAGGCCCTACAAACCTACACAGATATAAAGAGAGACACAGAGAGAGCAAGAGAGATCCCCTAAAGTAAAGAAATAATAAGAACTTTACCCTCGCATGAAACAGACTGATTAATACTCGTCCAAGTTCAACTTAATAAAACAGAATAAAATTTAAATTTCAATACCCTTACTATAATGCTACGGTAGAGGCTCTTCTAAATGAAGGTGCTTAGTGGTCAGGAAGCGGATCGAAACTACATCGAAACTACATCTATCGATTGCCGATTTAATTAGTACAGTCAGCATAGACGAGGATAAGTTAGACAGCCTGAATATACTCGTTTTATGACCTGAGCGGGTATAGAAAATAATAGAAGCGAGCAGCCGCTGCCGTGCAGATGATTGAAAAGCAACAAAGATTTGCATAGAAACGTGCGATTTTCGTAAGGCTGGCCTCCATCTGGCGAATACCCTTTGTAAGTGCCACAGGCATGTTGCACCCACAGCGCAGTAGCAACAGTAGCAGCAACAGCAACAGCAGCAGCAGCAACAGCAACGGCGGCGGCAGTCGGAATCGTTTGTCGCGCCTGCTGTCAACATGTTCAGAGCTCGAGTCACAGCATGAGAACAATAAAACGAATTCGTATTCACTGTACCGTTTGGTGGCTACTGCTGCTGCTGCCAATTGCTCATCCATTCATGGCGTCGTTTCCACAGCAGCAGCCAGAGGCCACCGCTGGGACATCCCGCTCCCAGTGGCAATTTGTTGTTGGCTTCTTTAGCTAATTGCAAATAGCTGCAATTAATCTAATTAATTTTCGGGTACCAGAAAGGTCTGCGGATTGGTTCATCTATTGTTGTCTGTGCTGTACATCATTTATAATGTGTGTGTGTGGGCACATTTTTAATATACGACAATCATTTCGTTCATTTTTTATTGTATTTTTTTGAGATTGCAAATGTGTGCGCTTTTTGGGTAGACCCAAAAATGTTGCAGCTTAGGCTTTGTTCTGGCCGAAAAAATGTCAAGATCAAAGTTGGGAGATATGAAGCAACGCTTTGATTAATGAAGGCAGTGGAACAGTAAACGAGGCACATTTTTGTGTTTTAAATTCAAATAAATAAGAATTACACATTAAATAGATGCTAAAGATTAGTGAGAAAACATTTGCGTACTCTAACGCAACATTCCATCATTAATAAAATAAACTGCAGAATAAATTATATAGCTCACGGTCCATAGAAAATCTTTATAATTAAATGAAATGAAGGCATATTTTATCGAAGCAATTGAGTTTCACTTATTGAAACTTGAATGTCATTCACGACATTGCGCTAAGATCTTATCTGCAAAGAGCGAAACAAAATAAATATAGCACCAGCTTAGAGTGCACCGCATCATAAATTGCCAATGCAGACTAAAACTGGAAATCGAACTGCTCATCCAATGGGAATGTCAGAATATAAGATTCTTGAAAATAAATCTCAGCGACAGCCAAGCAAATGATCTCAAAATAAGGCGAAGCAACTCTCAATTGAAAGCGCGCA